TCTTCTTCTTCTTCTTCTTCTTCCTCCTTTTCTTCTTCTTCTTCTTCTTCCTTTTCTTCTTCTTCTTCTTTTTCTTCTCATGTTTAACGTTCGGTCCACCCGTACCCCAAAATCTTGTGCACGCACACTACTACCCAGAAGCGTAACCCCCGTCCAGTTTGCGAGTTCCCCGTTTTTGTCACCCAGATGTAGAACTCGACACTTATCCTTGTTAAACTGCATCTTGTTCACGTCCGCCCACTTTTCCAGGGTGTTCAGACCTCCTTGAATTCTGTCTCCTGTCACCTGGTGTGTTCTCTGCTCCTCCCAGTTTGGTGTCATCGGCAAATTTAATGAGTAGACAGTGTTGACTTTCATGGACCAAGGGTCTGTTTCAGGATGAGGCAGATCCATGTGTTCATTCCGTCAATGGAACTGTGGACCCCAGGGGTCATTTCCTGCAGGAGTGCACAGGAGCGGAGCTCCGGCAGTAAAGAGCCCAGGGGGTGGGCACATGCAACAAGCCCCACCCCCTGCTCCCAGCAGCCCTCAGTCAGAGCAAGAAGCAGCCAGGAAAGCTGCAGAGTCACACACACACACCGCCTACCAGCCCAAAACAGTCCAGTGGCACCTTTAAGACCAAGTTTTATTCAGGTACAAGCTCTCCCTCCTCTGCGAGGACATATCTGTACGTTCACCCCCCCCCCCAATAGCTAGGAGTCCAAAACAGTCCAGTGGAGCCTGAGCGGTGGGTGTTGCCGTCTGACACACTTCCGGTGACGTCAGGGGGTGTGGCATATGCAAATAAGGTATGCTAATGAGCTTTGCTAATGAGCTCCTGCACCTCTTTTTGTACTAAATGACCCCTAAGTGGAGAATTGCCACCGGATCCAAGCCATTTGGGGCTCACATTGCAGGGATTGGCGTAATGTCTGGCCAAGGGCAGAGTGGTGGGTCTCCCCTGGTTGAATTTTCCCAACAATAAATGGTGCGGTATTTAACTTTCACTCCCTTCCCTTCTAGGCACTCTTGCAAGTCGCGAAGAACCTCTTCACGCACCTTGGTAAGCCAGTCGGGGTGCCCAGTGGGGTGAGGAGGGTTCAGCTCAGGGAGAGAAAGTGGAGGCTCTCTGGCTAGGCTTTCTCTGCACTGCGGCAGTCCGATGGAGTTTGAGCTGGGTATGAATCTGGAAGACAGCTTCGTGTATGTTTAAGGAGGGGCCGTGGCTCAGTGGAAGAGCATGGGAAAGACCTCCGCCTGAGACCCTGGAGAGCTGTAAAGGGGGCTGTGGCTCAGTGGCAGAGCCTCTGCTTGGCATGCAGAAGGTCCCAGGTTCAATCCCTGGCATCTCCAGTTAAAAAGGACCAGGCAGGAGGTGATGTGAAAGACCTCTCAGCCTGAGACCTTAGAGAGCTAATGGGGGGGTGCGTGGCTCAGTGGAACTTTGATGGACCAAGGCTCTAATCCAGTATCAGGTCCATGTGTTCATGTGTTCCCTTTCATCCTGCTTTAAAACTGTAAATCAATCAGTTCCCTTCTGCAGATCACAAAACCTCTCTTATGAACCCACCAACCCCTTTTAGGAATACCCTTTAGCAAGATACTCAGAGGACCTTATCAAAGCAAAGTACCTTAGTATTTCTGTACTTCAGATAACGAGTGTGGTGCACCATACCCCTGGGTTAAATATCTTCCCACCTTTTTAGAGCAGGAGAAGGCAGTTCCCCAGTTGCTTGCCCTAGATACTGGGCTCATGGGGACCTGTGATAAAGAATAGTTAAAATCAGGGGTCATTTCGTAGAAAAAGAGGTGCAGAAGCTCATTAACATAACTCATTAGCATAACTTATTTGCATATGCCACACACCCTGACATCACCGGAAGTGTGTCAGAAGGCAACACACACCGCTCAGGCGCCACTGGGCTGTTTTGGATTGCTAGCTATTGGGGGTGGGGGGAATGTGCAGATCTGTCCTTGCAGAGGAGGGAGAGCTTGTACCTGAACAAAACTTGGTCTTAAAGGTGCCACTGGACTGTTTTGGATTGCTAGATATGGGGGGGGACATGCAGATCTGCCGTCACAGAGGAGGGAGAGCTTGTACCTGAAGGCAGGCTGGGGGGGGGCTCCGCAACTTACCTGGTGTGGATGTATTTTTAGATATTTGGAAATCTTTTCTAGAAGCTTATGCGAAGATCTGCTTCCAGTGTTGTTATGTTTCTGTTCTCTCTCTCTCTATATATATATGTGTGTGTGTGTGTGTGTGTACATACATGTACATACATATACATGCACGCACACATACGCATGTATATTGGGGGTTCCTTTTTTTAAATTAGTGGCTGGATTTTGAGGGATTGTTTTCCTTTTTTTTCCTGGTTTGTCTCCTTCCTTCCTTCCTTCCATCCTTCCTTCCTTCCATTCTTCCTCCCTTCCTTCCTAGCTTTCTTCCTTCCTTTCTTTCCAAATTACTAACATTAACCCCACTCCGTCTCCCCCCCCTTTTCTCTCTTTCCCCCCTATCTAACTCTGTCTCTCTCTCTCTCTACCTCCTCTTCTCCATTCCTCCCTTCCACTCGCGCTTTTTTCCTATCTAGGGCCCGTCGTCTACCGCCACAACGGGCTTTGCTTACTAGTAAGAACATAAGAGAAGCCAATGTTGGATCAGGCCAATGGCCCATCCAGTCCAACACTCTGTCACATAGTGGCCAAAAATACCAGGTGCCATCAGGAGGTCCAGCAGTGGGGCTAGGACACTAGGAGCACTCCCACTCTTGCCCCCCCCCAAGCACCAAGAATACAGAGCATCCCTTGCCCCAGACGGAGAGTTCCTACCTATACCTTGTGGCTAATAGCCCCTGATGGACCCCCGCTCCATATGCTTATCTAATTCCCTTTAGAAGCCATCCGTGCTTGTAGCCGCCACCACTTCCTGTGGCAGTGAATTCCATGTGTTAATCACTCTTTGGGTGAAGAAGGACTTCCTTTTATCCGTTCTAACCCGACCGCTCTGCAGTTTCATGGAGTGACCACAAGGAGTTCTTGTATGGTGAGAAAGGGAGAAAAGTACCTCTTTCTCCACCTGCTCTATCCCAGGCATAATCATATAAACTTAGATCCTGTCACCCCTCAGTCGTCGTTTCTCCAAGCTAAAGAGTCCTAAGCGCCTTAACCTTTCCTCATAGGGAAAGTGTTCCAACCCTTTTATCATTCAAGTTGCCCTTTTCTGCACTTTTCCCAATGCTATAATATCCTTTTTGAGGTGTGGTGACCAGAACTGTACACAGTACTCCAAATGAGGACGTACCCTCCTTCCTAACAACGCTTCTACCGGAAATGTTGAAGACTTACTCTCAGAGCGATACGTAATTTCTCTCCCTGCCATTTTATGGATGGAGCTGTGGGGAGCCCCTCTTCCCACTGATGTCTCTTCAGGCAACCCCCTGAATTGGAGGCCGTGTGGTTGTAGTGGTTAGATCAGGACTGAAGGAGGTCTGGATTCAAATCCTCCTTGCCGTGACGTGAAGTTTGCTGGCTGACTCTGGGCTAGCCACTCTTTCTCCGCCTGATCTACCTCACAGGGTTGTTGTGAGGATAAAATGGAGGAGGGTGAACCGAGCTCCTTGGAAGCAGGGGGAGCGGAAATTGCTTAGAACTGAAGAAGAGGAGCTGAGGGGGAAACAGAAGCACTTTTGGGCCATGGAGCAGGGGGTCATTGGGGGGGGGGGAAGTAGTTGTGTATTTCCTGCTCTGTGCAGGGGGTTGGACTAGGTGACCCTGGAGGTCCCTTCCAACTCTGCGATTCTATGATTTCCAGGCCTCTTTTCCCCATGTGGGATGATGCACTTTCTATGCCATTTTGCAATCGTGTCCAACTGGATTTTCCTGTGTGAAACAGGAAACTCTTCCATCCATGTACTCACCAGGGCCAACTCTGCTTAGCTTCCAAAATCTGACAAGATTGGGCCAGCCTGGGCCATCCAGTTCAAGGCAAGAGACACATAGAGGTGGTCTGCCTTTGCCTGCCTCTGCCCAGCGACCCTGGACTTCCTTGGTGGCCTCCCATCCAAGGACTAACCAGGACCGACCCTGCTTAGCTTTCAAGATCTGATGAGACCAGGCCAGCCTGGGCATCCAGGTCAGGGCGAAAGACACACAGAGGTGGTTTGCCATTGCCTGCCTCTGCATAGCAACCCTGGACTTCTTTGGTGGTCTCCCATCCAAGGACTAACTGAGGTCAGCCTTGCTTAGCTTCTAAGTTCTGACAAGATTGGGGCCAGCCTGGGCCATCCAAGTCAAAGAGAAAGACTTCAGAGGTGGTCTGCCATTGCCTGCCTCTGCGTAGCAACCCTGGACTTCTTGCAGGTCAAAGTTCTCACCAGGGCCGATCCTACTTAGCTTCTGAGATCTGATGAGATCGGGCCAGCCTGGGCTATCCAGGTCAGGGCAAAAGGCATACAGAGGTGAACATAAGAGCATAAGAGATGCCAATGTTGGATCAGGCCAAGGGCCCATCCAGTCCAACACTCTGTGTCACACAGTGGCCAGAAATACCAGTTGCCATCAGGAGGTCCACCAGTGGGGCCAGGACATTAGAAGCCCTCCCACTGTTGCCCCCCCCCAAGCACCAAGAAGACAGAGCATCACTTGCCCCAGAGTCCCTATCTATACCTTGTGGCTAATAGCCACTGATGGACCTCTGCTCCATATGCCTATCTAATTCCCTTTTGAAGCCGTCCATGCTTGTGGCCGCCACCACTTCCTGTGTCAGTGAATTTGAATTGGTTTGCCATTGCCTGCCTCTGCATAGCAACCCCGGACTTCCTTGGGGGTCTGATGTTCCCTCTAAGCTGTGGAGTCTTGTGAGCAAAAATTCTACTTTGTGAGCTACTGGCATTAAAGTTGTGAGCGAGCGATTCAGCTACTGTATCAATGGGTTTGCTCTGGAGCCCTCCTTCCTGAGCTAAGACAAAAATGTGTGAGCCGGAGGCTAAAAAACTGCGAGCTAGCTCACACTAACTCAGCTTAGAGGGAACACTGGTGGTCTCCCATCCAAGTGCCAACCTGGGCCGACCCTGCTTAGCTTCCAAGATCTGACAAGATCGAGCTAGACCGGGCCATCCTGTTTTGGGTAATACAGGTACGAAAAATGAACTAAAGCTATAAGTTCCCTTGAGCACGTGCAGAGAGCATCTCCAGACCAGCGGATGTCGTTAGACGGGCCGGCTTGAGCCGAGACTTTTCTCGTTTTAACAAACTATTTGTGCATTTTGTGGGAGTTCATTTTCCCCAGAGGCCTGGCTTTTCTCCACGGGAGTCTTTGCTTAACTGACGTCCCCCCCTCACCTTTTGACTGTGGAATGGCTTCTCTTGCAGATGCTCCGTGTTCCTCTTGGATCGAAGCAACCACGAACTGGTGGCCAAAGTGTTTGACGGGGGCGTGGTGGACGACGAGGTAAGAGCCACAGGAAGGAGTTTTGTTGTCGTTCAGTCGCACAGTCGCGTCCGACTCTTTGCGACCCCATGGACCACATCACACCAGGCCCTCCTGTCTTCCGTCATACTCTGGAGTTTGCTCAATTGCATGTTCGTTGCATCAATGACACTGTCTAACCGTCTCATCCTGTGCCGTCCCCGTCTTCGGTCTTTCCCGGCATCGGGGTCTTCTCCAGCGAGGGCTCCCTTCTCATTCTGTGGCCAAAGTATTTGAGTTTCAGCTTCAGTCTCTGGCCTTCCAGGGAACAGTCGGGGGTGATTTCCTTTAGGATTGGGCTGATTCGATCTCCTTGCAGTCCAAGGGACTCTCAAGAGTCTTCTCCAGCACCATAATTCGAAGCCATCTGTTCTTCAGCGCTCGGCCTTCCTTATGGTCCAGCGCTTGCAGCTATACAGCACCAGTGTTCCCTCTAAGCTGAGTTAGTGTGAGCTAGCTCACAGTTTTTTAGCCTCCGGCTCACACATTTTTGTCTTCGCTCAGGAAGCAGGGCTCCAGAGCAAACTAATTTATGCAGCAGCCCAATCGCTCGCTCACAGCTTTAATGCCAGTCGCTCACAAAGTAGAATTTTTGCTCACAAGACTCCACAGCTTAGAGGGAACATTGTACAGCACTGCTGGGAATACCGTCGCTTTGAGTTAGAAGTTAGGAAGCACCAAATTGGGGGTGGGAAGAAGAAGAAGAGATTGGATTTATACCCCTCGCCCTTCACTACCCAAGGGAGTCTCAGAGCGGCTTACAGTCTCCTCTCCCTTCCCCTCCCCACAACAGGCACCCTGTGAGGTGGGTGGGGCCGAGAGAGCTCTTTCGAGGGCTGCCCTTGAGAGAACAGCTCTGAGAGAACTTGTGACCGATCCAAGGCCACCCAGCTGGCTGCATGTGGAGGAGTGGGGAATTCAAACCCAGTTTTCCCCAATTAGGATCCGCGCTCCCAACCACTACACCGAACTGCAAGCCGGCAGGGAAAATGGGGGGGGGGGACACCGTACGAAGTCTCACGTATGATCGGCACCAGGGTAGATCTCGTCCGATCGGGCTGTGGCCAAGAAGGGAAGGGGAAGGGACGAAGGGCAGATATCTGAAACATTCAGAACATGAAATGTACGTTGCACCGCTCAGAGTTTGGGGTTTGATGTTTTGGGAAGGAAAGGGGGAAGACACAGAGCCCGGCATCCTCTCTTTGCCTTTTGTTTTTTCAGGGCTAGCAACTGCCCGGGTGTGTGTGTGTGTCAAAACCCATGCATGGGGTGGGAGAGTTTAATTTCTTCTCTTGCACTGCAGGACTGATCCAAATCAGCGTCCAAATCTGTTGCAGTCGATAAATGGTGACCCCCATAGGGTTTTCAAGGCAAGAGACACACAGAGGGGGTTGGCCGTGGCCTGCCTCTGCGTAGCAACCCTGGGCTTCCTTGGAGGTCTCCCATCCAAATACTAACCGGGGCCGACCCTGGTTAGCTTCCGAGATCTGATGTGATCGGGCTAACCCAGGTCCTCTAGATCAGGGCAAAAGGCAAACAGAGGTGGGTTTCCCATTGCCTGCCTCTGCGTAGCAACGCTGGACTTCCTTGGTGGTCTCCCATCCAAGTACTAACCAGGGCCAACCCTGCTTAGCTTCCGAGATCTGATGCGATCGGGCTAACCTGGGTCCTCTAGGTCAGGGCAAAAGGCACACAGAGGTGGTTTCCCATTGCCTGCCTCTGCGTAGCAACGCTGGACTTCCTTGGTGGTCTCCCATCCAAGTACTAACCAGGGCCAACCCTGCTTAGCTTCCGAGATCTGATGCGATCGGGCTAACCTGGGTCCTCTAGGTCAGGGCAAAAGGCACACAGAGGTGGTTTCCCATTGCCTGCCTCTGCGTAGCAACGCTGGACTTCCTTGGTGGTCTCCCATCCAAGTACTAACCAGGGCCAACCCTGCTTAGCTTCCGAGATCTGATGCGATCGGGCTAACCTGGGTCCTCTAGGTCAGGGCAAAAGGCACACAGAGGTGGTTTCCCATTGCCTGCCTCTGCGTAGCAACGCTGGACTTCCTTGGAGGTCTCCCATCCAAATGCTAGCCAGGGCAAACCCTGCTTAGCTTCGGAGATCTGATGAGATACAGCTAGCCTGGGCCATCTAGGTCAGAGCAGGGTTCCATCCAGAATTCAGTTGTTGTCCAGAGCTTCACCCAGCTTTCTGCTTTCAACTCCCACGTTGTGTCTCACAAAGGCCTGTCGCTTTGTGAGAAGGACACACACACACACTCAGGGGTCATTTCGTAGAAAAAGAGGTGCAGGAGCTCATTAGCGTAACTCATTAGCATGACTTATTTGCATACGCCACACCCCTTGACATCCCCGGAAGTGTGTCAGAAGGCAACACCCACCGCTCAGGCTCCACTGGACTGCTTTGGATTGCTAGCTGTTGGGGGGGGGGACGCACAGATCTGCCCTCACAGAGGAGGGAGAGCTTGTACCTGAAGGCGGGATGAGGGTGGTGGGCTCTGCAACTTACCTGGCTGCTTCTTGCTCCTCGTGGCCCGACTGAGGGCTGCTGGGAGCAGGGGGCGGGGCTTGTTGCATGTGCCCGCCCCACGGGCTCCTTACTGCCGGAGCTCCGCTCCTGTGCGCTCCCGCAGGAAACGACCCCTGCGCACACTGATGTGTCCCCGCTGTTCTGTGTGCCCCCTTCCTTCTGCCACAGAGCTACGAGATCCGGATTCCGGCCGACCAAGGCATTGCGGGTCACGTGGCCACGACCGGGAAGATCCTCAACATCAAGGACGCCTACTCCCACCCTCTCTTCTACCGCGGCGTGGACGACAGCACCGGCTTCCGCACCAGGAACATCCTCTGCTTCCCCATCAAGGATGAGAACCAGGGTGAGGAAGGCCCGCAGGGTGGGGCGAATGGTGGGCGGGCCCGGAGGCCCGGTGGACCAAATGCTAGGGAGAGAGGGGCATGCCGTGGTCTTCTGGCCAAGGGTTATCTTCTCACTGGCAGTTCCTCATAGCCCCCCTCTTTCTCCTGGATCTAATTGATACTGCTGTGAGTAGGACCCAAAAAAAGAGGGGGAGTAAAACTAACCCGACCAATCAAAAACCTCCAAAGGAAGTTTAGAAAACTTATTAGGGGCCAAAACTTCAAAACAGGCCGGAAATGCGGGGGGGGGGAGCGTGGCTGTTTGCCCCGGAACAAAGTAACGTGCGGCAGCCCAATCAGACGTCCCGTCGAGGTCCCGTGGTTAGGCCGTTAGGTGCCAATTACACGGCTAGACTGCAGCACGGCAAAGAAGCGGTGCGGCGCGATCACACCGGCAATCGCTAGGCGCCGCTCCCGTGGCAAATGGGGTTTTTTGGGTCTCACTGAAGTTTGCGCATGCGCATGATCGTTTGTGCGCATCCTGTGGAGACTTAAAACAAAAAAAAACATCCGGTTTGCAACAGGACATGGGTGGGCGCCGGATGCCACGGGATTCTAGCGGAAACGTGATCAGACGTCCACCCTTGCCCCGTGTTTTCCGGAAATTAGTACATCGTATGTGGTAGTTTTTTACTCCGCATCTTCGGCAACAAGGCACGGGTTAGCCACGGGCGCACTACGCTTCCCAGATGTTGCGGTGTGATCGCGCCCGGAAAATCCGTCTATCATCCGTGTCTTCAGCATGGCAACTTCTCCATAAATAAGTATAGACAAAAGAGGGTTTATTTCAAAGACACAGAAAAACCTCAAATAAAGCCTCATAAAATGTTCAAAATTACAAATACACACAAAAAAGGACAGTGTATGACCCGATGCATTTCGGCTCACAAGAGCCTTCTTCAGAGCTCAAATAGTACAGAATACTATAGGGCAGTGATGGTGAACCTTTTAGAGACCGAGTGCCCAAACTGCGACCCAAAACCCACTTATTTATCGCAAAGTGCCAACACGGCAATTTAACCTGAATACTGAGGTTTTACTTTAGAAAAAACAACTCATACATAAGATGATCCAAACAAAGTAAGGAAAGCAATCCCAAATGCTTTCATTTACTTAAAATTATTTGGCAGAGAATTCGACACTTTAATGACGGTCTGGGCCTGGCTGGGGCGATGACACGCGTGCCCGCAGAGAGGGCTCTGAGTGCCACCTCTGGCACCGCTGCCATAGGTTCGCCACCATTACTATAGGGCCTTACTCCTAGTAATCTATATTTCAGTGATACTCTGTTTCACACTAGAGGCCAATGTTTTCTTGTCCTGCCTAACGGAATCAACAACTAGAGCGGTGATGGCGAACCTTTTAGAGACCGGGTGCCCAAACTGCGACACAAAACCCACTTATTTATCGCAAAGTGCAAACGTGGCAATTTAACCTGAATACTGAGTCTTTACTTTAGAAAAAACATACATTAACTTAAGATGATCCAAACAAAGTAAGGAAAGCAATCCCAAATGCTTTCATTTACGTAAAATTATTTGGCAGAGAATTCGACACTTTAATGATGGTCTGGGCCTGGCTGGGGTGATGGCATGTGCCATAGGAACCCGTGCCATAGGTTCACCACCACTGAGCTAGAGGAACCGCAGTCAGCAAACCTGCAGAGAAATATGGGAAATCTGCCTGTGAAAGAAAGCTCATAAAAACAACAAATATTTTTTTCTTAAAGTGCTCGACTCCCGTGGCCCATATTGGCCCAGGGGATCCTGGCGGTTTTTTGCTTTCCTCTGGACAGGGGTCACTGGGAGAGGGGGGAGGTAACGATGATGTCCTTTGGGGTCCCTTCCAGCTCCACGTTTCCATGCTTCTTTCTGTTTCTCTTTGCTCCTTCCAGAGGTCATCGGAGTGGCCGAGCTGGTTAACAAGATCAACGGTCCTTGGTTCAGCAAGTTCGACGAGGACCTGGCCACCGCATTCTCCATCTACTGCGGCATCAGCATCGCCCATGTACGTCTCCTCCTTTATTCCCAGCCTGATTGATTGATTGATTGATTGATCGATCAATTTATTGTCAGAGGCTTTCACGGCCGAAATTCATGAGCTGTTGTAGATTTTCCGGGCTGTCTGGCTGTGGTCTTGGCATTGTAGGACCTGACGCTTCGCCAGCAGCTGTGACTGGCATCCTCAGAGGTATAACACGGAAAGATGGAGGACTCTCTGTGTCAAGGTGAGAAGAAGAAGAATGGTAGGCAGGTCATTTATCTCTACTCAGGAAAGTGGGGTAGGGTAATGACTCAGCCCTACCCCACCTTCCTGAGTAGATATAAATGACCTGCCTACCATTTTCATCTCACCTTGACACAGAGAGTACGCCATCTTTCTGTGTTATACCTCTGAGGATGCCAGTCACAGCTGCTGGCGAAACATCAGGACCTACAATGCCAAGACCACGGCCAGACAACCCGGGAAATCTGCAACAACATATAAATAAATAAAGATGGGTAACATTTGAAAACCTCTCTGCTGGGGTGACCTGAATCTTTGGTTTTCTTCCCTCCAGTCTCTGCTCTATAAGAAAGTCCACGAAGCTCAGTACCGGAGCCACCTGGCCAATGAGATGATGATGTACCATATGAAGGTAAGAAGGGGAGGGTGGAGGCCTTCCAGGAAAGGGGACCCACCTGCCCCGCCTTTGGTCCTTCCTCAAGCCCAGTTGTCTGATGCTCCACCTTGGGGCAGGCGTATAAACAACCTCTCATGAATACACGGGTCTGCCTTCGACCAGGTCCAGCTGTTGGTTTCTTCCGGGCAGTCCAGTCTACTCTGAAGCCAGTGGCTCTTCAAGATCTCAGGTTGAGGCCTTTCACATCACTTGAACTAAAGATGCCACAGATTGAACGTGGGACCTTCTGCATGCCAAGCAGATGCTCTATCACTGAGCCACAGGTCTTTCCCATAACCCTACTGCCTTGTCCTTTTAACTGGAGATGTTGGGAATTGAACCTGGGACCTTCTGCATGCCAAGCAGATGCTCTATCCTGAGGAGGTTCTAATCTTATCTGTAGTGCTATTGTCAGATGTAGAGCCTTTTGTGTTTTTCAGCACAGGAAACCATGCCCTAGTTATTTAACTCCTCCTCAGTTATTTATTTAATTCCTTCCTGAGTAGATATAAATGACCTGCCTACCATTTTCATCTCACCTTGACACAGAGAGTACGCCATCTTTCTGTGTTATACCTCTGAGGATGCCAGTCACAGCTGCTGGCGAAACATCAGGACCTACAATGCCAAGACCACGGCCAGACAACCCGGGAAATCTGCAACAACATATAAATAAATAAAGATGGGTAACATTTGAAAACCTCTCTGCTGGGGTGACCTGACTCTTTGGTTTTCTTCCCTCCAGTCTCTGCTCTATAAGAAAGTCCACGAAGCTCAGTACCGGAGCCACCTGGCCAATGAGATGATGATGTACCATATGAAGGTAAGAAGGGGAGGGGGAGGCATTCCAGGAAAGGGGACCCACCTGTCCCGCCTTTGGTTCGTCCCCAAGCCCAGTTGTCTGATGCTCCACCTTGGGGCAGGCGTATAAACAAACTCTCATGAATACACGGGTCTGCCTTTGACCGGGTCCAGCTGTTAGTTTCTCCCGGCCAGTCCGGTCTATTCTGATGGCTGAGGCTCTTCAAGATCTCAGGTTGAGGTCTTTCACATCACCTGGACTAGAGAAGCTGGGGATTGAACCTGGGACCTTCTGCATGCCAAGCAGATGCTCTAACAGTGAGCTACTGAGGTCTTTCCCATCCCCTACTGCCTGGTCCTTTTAACTGGAGACGTTAGGGATTGAACCTGGGACCTTCTGCATGCCAAACAGATGCTCTACCACTGAGCCACTGAGGTCTTTCCCATAACCCTACTGCCTGGTCCTTTTAACTGGAGATGTTAGGGATTGAGCCTGGGACCTTCTGCATGCCAAGCAGAGGCTCTACCACTGAGCCACTGAGGTCTTTTGCATCACCTCCTGCCTGGTCCTTTTAACTGGAGACATTAGGGATTGAACCTGGGACCTTCTGCATGCCAAGCAGATGCTCTACCACTGAGCCACTGAGGTCTTTCCCATCCCCTACTGCCTGGTCCTTTTAACTGGAGATGCCGGGGATTGAACCTGGGACCTTCTGCATGCCAAACAGATGCTCAGCCACTGAGGTCTTTCCCATAACCCTACTGCCTGGTCCTTTTATCTGGAGATGTTAGGGATTGAACCTGGGACCTTCTGCATGCCAAGCAGATGCTCTACCATTGAGCCACTGCCCTTCCCCAAGACATAAAGTTGTCTTATACTGATTTAAACCCTTTGTCCATCAAGGTCAGTATTGTCTATTATGACCAGAAGCAGCTCTCCAGGGTCTCAGGCAGAGGTCATTCCCATTACCTACGATCTGATTCTTCCTGGAGATGCCAGGGATTGAACCTGGGACCTTCTGCATCCCGTGCAGATACTCTTGTCACTAGAAGCCATTGCCTCTACCTCCACTAGGTTGACAGACCTCCATCTCCTAGGCAGCAATAAGGAAATCCCAGCTTACGAACATCAGAAGAGCCCTGCTGGATCAGACCAGTGATGGTCCTTCTGATCCAGCATCCCGCCTCACACAGTGGCCACCCAGTTCCTCTGGAGGGCCAACAACAGGGCAAAGAGGCCAAGGCCTTCCCCTGATAAGGACATTAGAAGAGCCCTGCTGGGTCAGACCAGTGAGGGTCCATCCAGTCCAGCATCCCGTCTCACACAGTGGCCAGCCAGTTCCTCTGGAGGGCCAACAACAGGGCAGAGAGGCCGAGGCCTTCTCCTGATGTTGCCCCCTGGCACTGGGATTCAGAGGCTCAGTGCCTCTGACTGTGGAGGTTCCCCTCAGTCACCATGGCTAGTAGCCACTGTTCGACTTCTCCTCCATGAATCCATCTCATCCCCTTTTAAAGCTGTTTATTCTTGTGGCCATCACTCCATCCTCTGGCAGTGAATTCCACATTTGAATCCCTCTCTGTGTAAAGTAGTCTTTCCTTTTGTCCGTCCTGAACCTACTGCCCATCAGCTTCATCTGATGCCCTCGAGTTCTCGAATTTAGGGGGAGGGAGAAGAATTTCTCTGTGTCCGCTCTCTCCACCCCATGCTGTGCTTATAGGGCGGATGCCGAACTAGCTCATTGGATGCCACAAATATTGTTGACCACTCAGTGCTGGGGAAAGGCCAATTCACAGGGAGAGGTTGATCTGTGATCGCAAGGATACACACACACACACACACGTAAATTGTCCAATTAATCACAAACTTGCCTTGGCCGTTTCCTCCCCCATAGCAATTCTTCTCTTTGGCTTCTCTTCTAGGTGTCTGAAGACGAGTACACCATCCTCCTCAACGAGAGCATCAAGCCGGTGCCCGAGTTCGACGCCAACTTCGACAGATTTACCTACACGCCCCGTTCCCTTCCCGATGACGACACGTGCATGGTGAGAACCAGCCTGTGTGTTGAAGACCCACCCACCCCCCGGCTTCTTGAGTTTCTCCATCTTTCTTTCTTTCTTTCTTTATTTATTTATACATACTTTCGATTTATATTCTGCCCTCCCCGCATGGGCAGGCTCTGGGCGGCTTACAACAAGTTAAAATGCGACAGAATGAGTACAATAAAACAGAGATGCATCGACAGAGCAATCATCTCAAATTCAGACAAGCAATCAGATTCGTAAATAAAGAGCTGTTGCATATAGATGGCGGTAGCCTCTCCAAGGCAATGTTAGATGGTAGCAGGGGTCATTTCGTAGAAAAAGAGGTGTAGGAGCTCATTAGCATAACTTATTAACATAACTCATTTGCATATGCCACACCCCCTGACATCACCGGAAGTGTGTCAGAAGGCAACACCCACCGCTCAGGCTCCACTGGACTCTTTTGGATTGCTAGCTATGGGGGGAGGGGAACGTGCAGATCTGTCCTCACAGAGGAGGGAGAGCTTGTACCTGAATAAAACTTGGCCTTAAAGGTGACGGAATGGTCTTGCAGTAACGCTGACAACAGTCTTGTAAGGTAGACTAGTACTGTCACCTGCATATTACAGATGTGGCTGAGGGAGGGAGTGCGGCTCGCTTACCAAGCTTTTGACAAGAAGCAAGATTTGAACGCCGGCCCTCCTGACTGTTGGTTCACTGTCTCAGCCACTTTGGTTACACCGACTCCTGTATATAGTAATTATTTGGGGCAGGTTTCTGAAACTCTCAAGAGGGAAATGAAGTTTTCAAGCCAAATAGTAAAAACTCATGAGCTTTTAAACATTTTAAAAATAATTTTGTCAAAGTGGTTCCGGAACGCCGTTCCGGCGCGTTCCGCCAGAAAAAAAAGCCCTGATTTGGGGGTTTGTCTGACAAGATTTTAACAGCGTTCCTTATTGACCAGCCCTTAACCTTTGGGATGGGCCAGGCTGCACATTTAAATCCCCCCTTCCCCATCTGACGTGGGATATCCCCCTCTGAGCTCTCTGCGTCTCTCTTTCTTCCCTGCAGGCCATTTTGAGCATGCTGCAGGACATGAACTTCATCAACAGCTACAAAATCGACCGCCATACGCTTGTCAGGTGGGACAATGGGCCGATCCTCTTTCCCACGCTCGGTCTCCCTCCCTACCTCCTTCAGTCCAACGCTGCAGGATTGGTTTGAACAGGCCGATTTGGGGCAAGGCCCCTGCCCTGCTCCGTGCTTTGGGGAGGGGTCGCTGGTACCGTTCTCATCGAGGGACCCCCCCTTCTCCCCCCCCTGCAGGTTCTGCCTGATGGTGAAAAAGGGCTACAGGGACCCTCCCTACCACAACTGGATGCACGCCTTCTCCGTCTCCCACTTCTGCTACCTGCTGTACAAAAACCTGGAGCTGGTCAATTACCTGGAGTAGGTGGATTTATCGACTGATTTATTAAAGCATTTGTATCCTGCTATTTCTCAGTTAGGTGTAGTGGTGAGGAGCGCGGACTCTAAGCTGGGAGAACCGGGTTTGATTCCCCACTCCTCCACAAGCAGCTAGCTGGGTGACTGTGGGTCAGTCACAAGTTCTCTCAGAGCTGTTCTCTCAGGAGCAGTTCTCGAAAGAGCTCTCTCAGCCCCACCTACCTCATAGGGTGTCTGTTGTGGGGAGAGGAAGGGAAAGGAGATTGTAAGCCGCTCTGAGACTCCTTCGGGTAGTGAAGGGCGAGCAATAAATCCAATCTCTTCTTCTCTCAGAGCTGTTCTTTCAAGAGCAGTTTCTGTCAGAGCTCTCTCGGCCCCACCTACCTCCCAGGATCTGTTGTGGGGAGGGGTGGGGAAAGGAGTTTGTAAGCTGCTCTGAGACTCCAAGTGAAGGGCGGGGTATGAATCCAATCTCTTCTTCATCTTCTTCTCTCATGTTGCAAGGTGGCTTACAATAACAGTTAAGGACATTTTCCATTGAAAACCAACGATAAAATGGCCGGCCCCAACTCTCTCCCTCCGTCACGTCCCCCCTTAAAAGATGCCTGCCATTTCAAACCCGCTCAAAAGCCCTGGTGAACTGGCTGGCCTTGCAGCAGCTCCTTAAGATCTCCAAGAAAGGGGACCCCCCTCCATGATTCTGGGAGCCCCTCCCAGAGAGCCGGAGCCACCACGGAAAAGGCCCTGGGCTCTTCCCGATCCCAGACAGGCCACCCCAAGTGGGGGGATAGCCAACGGATGGCTGCCTAAGACTGCCGCCGTCTCCAAGGGACGTTTGGAAGGAGACGGCCCATCAAATATGGTGCTTTGCTCTCCCTCAGGGCTCCGCCCCGGGACCTGGAAGGGGCACATTCGGGCACTTCTTTGAGATATCAAGCTTTCAAATGCATCCTCCCCAGCTTTGCTAGAAGCTTTGGCAGAGATCGTGTCTCGTTTTCTGCAGTGACATGTTGCAGCATTAGCTGTTGGAGCTAATATTCTTCTCCCATTCCTCCATCATCCACTAGGGGCACTGTCCATTCTGAAATGATCTGAAGGCACACCCCACGTTCACGCTCAGTGTCTAGGGCTGCCAGCTACCAGGAGGGGCAAACGTAGAAAAACACCGGGTTTCAACAAAACACACAACACTACTATGCTTCTGCGTCTTCATTTATTGATCCAAATCACACACTTGGATACAATAGAGAGACCCTAGTGTGTCTTATTAATTATAGTACAAAAACCTAGAGAACATTATATATCTAGTAGAAAAGTCCACTGCTACAGAGACAGGTTCCAATGCTGTACTTTCTGATGTGAGATGTGGCAGGCTGTTATGCTTTCCAAAAAGAGATACAGCAAGCATCAAAGCAACACGCCTCCCAGGCAAAAATTTCGTGTTTCGAGAGATTATTTTTCAGGCACCATTATTTTTCCTGGAACTGAATTACAAACACAATATAACACAATATACTTTACATAGTTTTTGTTGTTGTTGTTCAGTTGCACAGTCGAGTCCGACTCTCCGCGACCCCATGGACCAGATCACGCCAGGCCTTCCTGTCTTCCACAGTCCTCTGAAGTTGGCTCAATTTCATGTTCGTTGCATCGATGACACTGTCTAAGCATCTCCTCCTTTGCCGTCCCCGTCTTCTTTGACCTTCAGTCTTTCCCAGCATCAGGGTCTTCTCCAGTGAGGGCTCCCTTCTCATTGGGTGGCCAAAGTATTTGAGCTTAGTTGAACTAGCTTGCTGCACTTACCCAAAGCTCACAATACTACAGTACACAAGTCAATGCAAAAGACAGTATACAGCACTGGCACCTGTCTCTGTAGCTGTGGACTTTTCTTCTAAATATCTAATGTCCTTTAGGTTTTTGTACTATAATGAATAAGACACACCAGGGTCTCTCTCTTGTATTTAAGCACATGGTTTAAATCAATGTACGAAGACACAGTAGCATAATAGTATTGTGTGTTTTGTTCTAACACGGTGTTTTCCCGCGTTTGCTCAGCCTTGCCGTGTTACCCGTGTGTTTGAACTACCAGGAGGCGCCTGGAAATCTCACAGCAGAATCACTGCTCTCCAGACAACAGAGATCACTTTCCCTTGGAGAAAATGGCTGCTTTGGAGGGTGGACTCTACGGCCAGGTCCTTTTCGGTGGCGTCTCCTATCTGGTGGAATGAGCTCCCGGAGGAGATCAGGGCCCTGTCCTGTAAGACGGAGCTCTTCCGCCGGGCTTTCGAATAGGAGCCGCCTGCCACCACCACCAACGGGGGACTGCAAAACAGTACCACTGGGTTGGGCCGTTCTGGCCATCTGAACATCATGGCCCACAGCATCCCCTTCTTTGACCCCTATGCGATGAGCAATAGGGAGCAAGTTTGTTAGTCGTGATGGATCCTTGGGAGTTGCTTACTGTGTTTTAACCGTTTTAACTGTGTTTTATTGCACTGGGTGCCTTAATTGTTTTTCATTGTGGTGGTGTATTACACCTCGTGTTGTAAGCCGCCCTGAGCCCGCATGCGGGGAGGGCGAGATATAAATGAAATAAAAGAAAGAAAGAAAGAAATCCTACCCTGAGGTCCCTCCCCTCCCCCAATCCCACCTTCTACACGCTGTCCGACTCCCCATGCATTCAAAATAAATCCACGTTTGAAGAACAAAGTCAAATTTATTATAAAGCGATGGTTAGATCAGGAACACAAGAAATTGTTAGGAATAACTACAAACCCCGGAGGGCAACATAATAAAGGAACTTGAACCCGTGTAGGACCAATGAGCCCAATTCCCGCTGGCGGGAATGCAGATAAAACGAGCGCCCAATTCCTTGGGAACACAACGGTTCTACAACATAAACACAGGGCAGTTCTCAGGCTTCGAATACATAACAAGCCAAGCAATGCCACGACACAATCCCACCTCCAGCTGTTAACCTTGAGCAGTTCCGCAAATGCAGCAAGCAAGAGAAAGTAAACACCTACAGATGGGGGGGGGGACGGGGAAGAAGGTTCAGAGGTTACAACGTAACATGGCAACTTCATGGCAGCTTGCTGACACACGCTCCGTCCCCAAATCTCCAGGGATTTCCCAACCTGGCCTTGGCAACCCTCGCAGTGTCTCACAGTCCCCACCCTATCCTTCGTCATCCCACTACACGCACCACGCTGCACATCTCTCGGCACCTCTGGGTAACCGAACCTCCTTCCGAAGCCCATTCACGCCGGTGTTTGTGTCGTTTTTCTCCCCACAGAGACATCGAAATCTTTGCCTTGTTTATCTCCTGCATGTGTCACGACCTGGACCATCGGGGCACGAATAACTCCTTTCAGGTGGCTTCGGTACGGCTCGAAGGAACCCGTCCTCCACAAAGCCGGGGGGGGGAGGGAGGGAGGGAGGGAAGGTGTGGGCAGGTGCAAGCGTGAAAAAGGGAGGGATGAATTCGATTCCTACAGCATCCTTTGGTCCATGGCCAGCATCTGCACACCCTGAGGTGAGGCAGCTGCCAGGGCCCATCGCTCCTGGTAGGGGGCCCACGGCTACTGACCACCCACCCATGCACTCCCCCTGCCACCTGCCTGCATGCCCTTCCCCTTCTGCTTGCTTGAAGTGCTCTGCCACCCGTGCTCCCAACTGCCCGGAATCATTGGTGCACAAAGAACAGGGGCAATGCTGATGGGTGGGTGTGGCAGCAGCTCTCACAGCACTTTTCCACGTTCTCATTTCCTTTGTTCAAAAGTTCCTGTTTCTTTGGGTGTGTTTTTTTCCTGTTCCACGTGTCTTTTGCTCCACCTAGTGGTCGCTTTGATATTGCACTGGTTTCTGTTCGGTGAGTCTCCCTGCAGGTTCTTACATGGGACATAAACTGGGGTAATAGATTCAGATTCAGACACCTTTAATGGCATAGTAGTAACGTGTTTCCCCGAAAATAAGACACTGTCTTATATTTATTTTTTCTCAAGAAGACACACTAGGGCTTATTTTCAGGGGATGTCTTATTTTTATTAAGTATAATACAACAATCTACATTTATTCAAATACAGTTAAGTCATCTTCTTCTGGAACATCGTCATAACTCTCATCACTAGGACTTATTATTGGGGTAGGGCTTATACCACAAATGCATAGAAATCCTGCTAGGGCTTATTTTTTGGGTAGGTCTTATTTTCGGGGAAACAGGGTATATAATAAATACATTTAAGACGATACATTGAATTCCAGTAAGTAAATTTAGACAATAAAATATGTGTATTATGTAAAAAGGTTGTATCTAAGTGCGGCTGGTTCAGCTAAGAATTCTGCAACCATAATTGTAGTATCAGTATTAACATCGTTAAGAAGATATTGAACAGTTTTAAGATCATTAGTAAATAAGTATGGCTGAAGGGGAAACAGTTTCATACGTGAAGATGTATGCGGCTGGCAGTCCAGAATAATATGGAAGATTGAGTCTGGGGCCATGCTTGAAAATTTGCAGAGTCTTCCCTGGGGTGGGATGTTATTAAATCGACCCCGCAACATTTTATTAAATTGACCCCGCAGCATGTTTGAGGGAAAGACGTTTAGCCGAGCCAACGTAAAGGCTCTACGATGGGAAGGAAGGCTGAGATTGTGTAAATAATGGGCCATTTGGCCATATTTGGGTAGAGAGGTTAAGGTGAGCTTGTGAGTAAATATGTGGATGTGAAGGACGAAAGTTATGTAATTCTAGGTCGAATAGTCTTTGTCTAATAGATTGAAAAATCAAGGTTTTGTCCATTTGGAAAAAGTAAGTCAACCCATTTGATGAATTTTTTCTTCTATTTTTGAAAACCAGAGGGGACTGTGTGTATCATTTTTAAAGCGTGAAATTAGAGAGTTTGGAGAGGCTCTAAAATGAATATTGAGCCAATAGTTAAAGGTTAGTAGCCAACCTTTTGTTTGAATAAGATGTTGGCCCAATTCTAAGCATAAAGCCGAGTGCAGCACACACCTTGGGGCACCTAAACCGGGGTAATATCAAAGCGACCACTAGAGGGAGCAAAACACATGCAGAAGAGAATTAAAAACACAAGTGAGGAAAATGAGAAGTCTGTGAGTAAATGTGTCACAGGGGTTTGAGGGAGAGGTGAAAAGGTCCAGCACAATTCAGGGCGAAAGGACAACAGAAGGCACGCAACTGTTGAGAAGCAATCAAAAGGCCCCAGCTGCATACACCAAACAGTGCTGTTGGTAAAATGGTGTACAGGAAGTGCAGGCAACTGAGCGGGGCTGATGGGAGGGCTTGCAAGTGGGAAAAGGATGCTCAGGCATATGGGGGGTATGCAGGTGGGGGAAAGGGAGGCATCAGTGGGACCTGGTGGCAGGCAAACAAAGGCCCCTGGGTTCTGTCTGCCCAGGATACCTCAAAGCCTGGAACTGGCCCTGCTTTGGTCAGCTATGGTTCTGCAGACCATGATGAAATTATATAGGAAGAGGAGAACTACCCGAAAGGGGATCCCATCCGCTGATCATCTAGGAGCATTTTTAGAAAATGCTTTTGGGGGCTTTTAAAGGCCAAGCGGGGCCACTGAAAGAATCTGGAGGAAGCAGGACTCACATTGAGTGAGCTTATGACAATACTGTGTTCTGCTGGTAACTTTATTTGGTTTTATCAAATGGTTTAAATGTCTCCAGTGCCGTTCTAAATGTTTTTTTCATGTTTGCCGTCTTAGGGGCCCCATTTTGGGTGGGAAAGGAGTATAGAAATGTTGGCCGGCTGGCTGAGGAGACGTCTCCAACCCCATCTCTTAGCTATGACTCTGAGCACAGCTGTGTAAACATCCCCATGAGCGATTCAATACCACACGAGCAATTTTGTCATGCATCACTCTCAAACACACGAAAGGGCTCAGGAGGCATGTGTCTGTGTGTAACAGATTAAGATTGGGCTAGACAGGGCAATCCAAGTCAGGGCAGATGGCATATGGAGGTGGTTTGCCACTGCCTGCCTCTGCGTAGCAACCCTGATGTTCCTTGGTGGTCTCCCATCCAAGTACTAACCAGGGCCAACCCTACTTAGCTTCCAAGATCTGACAAGGTCAGGTTAGCCCAGGCTATTCAGATCAGGGGTTCCTGTAAACTAGCTTTCCCCAAAAAAAATTTCCAGCATGCTTTCTTGCAGGGAGTTATGGGAACTGTAGTTTCCTCAGACTACCAATGGGAGAGGCTCATAAATAATATCGTTTCTATCAGTCTGGGGGAGAAGCTGACCCTCAGCTTCCTTACAAAGCCCGATGGGAGGGGAGGGGAGAAACGTTGGCCTTTTGATCTCCCAGCCTTGCGGAGGGATAGGGCCCAGCTCTCATCTCCCAGGATTACAACTGATCTCCAGGCGACAGGAGGTTCATCAGGAGAATATGGCTGCTTCGGAAGGATTTGGTTCATCAGGAAAATATGGCTGCTTCGGAAGGCGGACTCTATGGCGTTATACCCCTATTGAAGTCCCTCCCCAAACCCCACCCTCCTCAGGCTCCTCCCCCAAAATCTCCAGATGTTTCATAACCTGGAGCCAGCAACCTGAAGGAGAGGCATGAAGGGGAGCAGCAGACCAGGGTTCTTACTGCAATTAGGTTGCCAGCTCCAGAATGGGAAATTTCTGGACATTTAAGGGGTGGAACCTGGGGTGGGAAGAGGGGAAGGTGCTCCACAAGGGTGTGACGCTATTCAGTCAGGGTTGCCAAATCCCCATGGTGTGCGGGGGATTCTCCGGTTTTTGGCACTCCCCCCCAGCACTGGCCGGCGGGGGAGAGTTACCGCCCCAAATGCAACGTTCCTACGTCACCTGAAAGTGCCGTAGGCACGTCTGTGACATCGTAGGTCGATGTTCTGGTTTTGGGGCAAAACTCTATGGTAGAATTAGCTTCAAACTATAGAGTTTTGCCCAAAAACCCAAGCGTTCCTGACGTCACCAATGTGCCTATGTCACTTCCGGGTGACATAGGCACATTGCACTTCTTCCTTCCCCTCCCCCAGAGCATCTTGGTAAGTCTCCCGCCGGCTTGTCATTCAGACCTGGCAACCCTACATAGAGTCCACCCTTCAAAGCAGCCATTTCCTCCAGCAGAACTGATCTCTGTAGTCTGGAGGTCAGCGGTAATTCTGGGAGAACTCCAGGTCCCACCTGGAGGTTGGCAGCCCTGTGCCTGAACCCAAATGTTTCCCTCTTGACCAGTGTTCCCTCTAAGCTGAGTTAGTGTGAGCTAGCTCACAGATTTTTAGGCTCCGGTTCACCCTTTTTTGTCTTTGCTCAGGAAGGATGGCTCCAGAGCCAGCTAATTTATGCAGTAGCCAAATCGCTCACTCACAATTTTAATGTCCGTAGCTCACAAAGTAGAATTTTTATTCTCAGGACTCCTCAGCTTAGAGAGAGAATTGCTCTTGACTCTTGGGGTGTTTCTTTTATGCAGCCTGAAATGAAACCCCATCCTGTGTATTCTTCTTCTTGCCAACCTGACTTCTCTTCTTTCTTTCAGAAATCGGTCCTGGCTGCCTTATACAGCTCTGAAGGTTCTGTGATGGAGGTAACCCCCCCCCCTGAAAAAATCTCTTTGTCCTTTGCAGGTTTATCCCCTGGCAAGTGAGAAAGGGAGCCAGAGGAACAGGATGTAGTAGAGAAAAAACTGGGGAAAGAAACCCCTGCAAATGACAAGGCCCTTTTTGTAGTGTGAAGGAGGAAGAAACTCATGAGTTGGAAAAGATAGGGCACGGAAAACATTGCACATGTTCCACAGAATGTTGGTTTCCTTGAGCCAAACTACAAGTGATGGGTAGAGGGGTAACATTTCCAGAAATTTTGAAACCACGGGGAAATAAAACAGGTTTTCGTAGAGAAAAATTGAAATATAGGCAATGCCTACTCTTCTATCAAGCCTAATCCTACTGATTTAACAAAGCATCGTTTATAACTTATTTAGCATATATAATTGCAATATTCGACATGTTTGCAGTATTTAAAAGTTATAAATGCCTGGAGTTTGAACAAGCCAAATTGCAAATATACATAATACTTGAGAGAAATCTGCCATCTGTTGCACCTTATGCTGTGTTAGCACATGTACCTTAATGTTTGCTATCTGGTTAGAGAGAGCTCAGTTATCAAGGAACCTTTCAGAGTTTTCACCTGAGGCTTTGGTGCAGTTTCTGCCCCTATCTCTTTCTGATCTTTTTTTATCCCTCCTGCAAGGTAGGGCAATAAGTTACTTTTTGCTCAGTCTGTGGGTAATGTGTCACAGGGAACTGAGGGGGAGATGGAAAGGTCAACCACAATTCAGGACAACAGAAGGCACGCAACTGTTGAGAAGCAGTGAATGCCTTGCATGCTCCCCTCATGATGGTTAGGTATCCTTCTAGGTGCCGGAATGCATCTTGGATTTAAGAGCTGTGTGTGTTTACAGCATGCCCACCCTGTCTTCAAAAGCATTTCAACTCACTGAGAGAAAAGATATTAAACACATTTTGCACGAAGCGGAAAAAAGGAATTGATGATTTATGGGTTTGAAGAATAAGAGGGTGAGAAATGAATTATAGATAAAAGAGAGGGTTCTTTTTTTCTTTTATGGATCTATAGAGAGAGTCAATGGAGAATTAAGATGTAGCAGTCATAAATGAAAATCGAAATATATTCCTTTTTTTCTTCTTTCTTTTTTCCCCCCTATGATTTTTCTGTGTGTTCTCTTATATGTATTTTGGTTAAAAGTTCAATAAAATTCATTTTAAAAAAAAGGCTTTCACTCGTGAAAAGAGAAAACATATTTTTCACATTTTTCCAGCCCCCAAGATTTTCCGTGGTTTTTTTCTGGGCCTTCACATCTGTAGCCACACATTCACCTGTGGCTGCCGATGCCATTTTAAAAGCACTTGTAATTCTTTAAAAACTGCTTTGAGGCATGGATCCAGATAAGATGCTTGGCATGGCAGGCCTAGGACCTCTCGCCGCCCCCCCACACACACACACCCCACACTTCAGTTGCAGAGACATCCCTGTTTTGGCAACTGAAGAGGCAAAGGATAGGTTCAAGAGTCCTGGAGTCACCATCCCCATGCACCTGTGCATCCATTTTTGAAGAACTACAGCTGCTTCTAAAATAGTCTTGGGGGGACACAGGATGCACCCGTGGCCACCGTCACTCGTTGTTTGGCCCCTCCCCAAGACTGGGGGTGGGCCTGCTGCTTCTGTCTTTTCTCCAAGGGACTCTTCTCGATAGAGAGGTGTGTTCACCCAGGAGTGGACCTGATTCCCCTCTTGCAAACCCCTGTGAGCCACGCGCTCACCTCCCTCTTTTTGTTTCCCTTGCGCAGAGACATCATTTTGCTCAGGCCATTGCGATCTTGAACACCCATGGCTGCAACATCTTCGATCATTTCTCCCGAAAGGTAAGTCACAAGAGGAGCTCCCCAACCCCTGGCAACATGGCCCAGGTGGAAAAATACAGACATGCTCATAAAAGTTCTTGCACCAAGGATCCCTGGAGCAACAAGGATCCTGTACCAAGAATCCTTGGGAGGGGGCTGTAGCTCAGTGACAGAGCATCTGCTTGGCATGCATAAAGTCCCAAGTTCAACCTCAAGGGTCTGAATCAGCATGAGGAAGTTTCATGAGCGTTCATGTGTGCCTGACATTCCCCTCACCCCAAATTGCTGACGCCCCTCTACCCCCGGCTGTAATGCTGCATTTATTCCCTCTGCCTTTCCTCCACTGATTTAAAGGTCGTGAGGTTGGTGGCGCCTTCAGTTAAAGATACAGTAGACTGGCATACCTGTCTCACAATATATGATCAGTCGTTTGGTAACTGCAGTATTTGATACAGCAGGCCATGTGTCATTTGGGCCTTCGTGTTCATGCACAAGCACTGACATGCATGCATGCTAGAGAAGGGGCGTACGATTGGAAGGGAGCGCGTGACCTGTCCATGCCAGCCTCTCCTGTTGGACTACTTCCTTGCTGAAGGATAGTAAAGCAAAGCCTCTTTGGTGCTGTAGGACTACCAAAGGATGCTGGATCTGATGCGAGACATTATTCTGGCTACCGATCTGGCTCACCACTTGAGAATCTTCAAAGACCTCCAGAAAATGTCAGAAGGTAAAATCACGGGCATGATTTTGCGGGGTGGGGTACCAGCTTTCAAGAGTCAAAGCTCCGTTTTGTCAGATAGGGACCTCCGTTCAGACTCGTATCTGAAGGGAAAGCTCCTACCCCCCAAAATCTCATTGGTCTCTAAGGTTCTTTCTCGGCACCGTTTGGTCTCTAAGGTGCTCCTGGAATCATATCTAGCTCTTCTCCAGTCGAAGAAGGCACTGATGAGCTAGATGGACCACTCCCCTGATTCGGTGCATGTCGCATGTTTGTGTGTGTCCGTGTGTTCATACAAGGACATAGCTTTCCCAGGCGATCTGGGGGAAATGACGCATGCCCATGCCGGTCAGAGTGAAGCCCCCACCTCATTTCTTGGGGAGAGGCTTTGACGTCTCCGTGGTGCCTCCGTCGAGCCACCCGGAACGCAGCCATTTTTGCAGAAAACAAATGGCAACAACAACAAAAAACCCACCCCGTGAAATGTCACTTGTCTCTCTCTTCTCCGCAGTCGGCTACGACCCCAAAAACAAGAATCACCACAGCCTCCTGCTGTGCCTTCTCATGACCTCCTGTGACCTCTCAGACCAGACGAAAGGCTGGAAAACCACACGCAAGATTGCTGTGAGTAGGGGGGGGATCCAGGGCCACGCAGCCCCCTCTTCCCTAAGCTAGATATATATTGTTTTCCTCGGTGAATCTCGAGATGATTCCTCTAGACCATCCATCCCCTCTGTAGGGGGGAGCTGGGGCATAAATTGTAAGGTCTTTATGGGATGTCCACTGTGCTGTACCCCTAACTGGAAGACACTCTAGATCAGGGGTCCCCAACATGGTGGCAGTGGGCATGATAGCGCCCACCGTCCTTTCCTGGCACCCACTGAGTGTTTTTAGAAAGTGGGTGGGACCAGGCGATGTTTCTGCCCAGCAAGGCTTCTCATTGGCCACTGGAGTTTTGATTGGCTGTGCAGATTTTTTTTAAATGTTGCTTTGGCAGCAGCTGCCACCACGACACCAAGATCTTCATTATGTGACTGAAGGTAAGGTGTGGCTGCCATTTTGTGGCTGGCTCCACCTCCTACCGCCAGCAGCCATTTTGTGCCAGCATTCCAAAGGTATCCACAGGCTCAAAAAGGTTGGGGATCCCTGATCTAGATCCCCTCTGTCCGCAGTGCAGCACGGAAACCAACCCCAAATACCAGACCATCCAATATTGTTTTGCTTCCCGTTGCCAATACATTCTCCCTCAGAAATCCCATCTGTTTTGGCCACTGATGAACTTCCGGATCCATGCTCACATAGGTCGTGCCTGCTGGCCTCCTCACCCAGTTACCAAAGGTAGCCAAGATTGTGGCTGCAACCCACTTGTGATTACTGTTGACTTCCATCTTTGAGAGGGAGGAATCCTAACATCCCTCACAGGGGGACTTGTATTTTCCTGCCAATAGCAGGAGTGGCAGAAATTCATCTGGCAAAGCTGTTTCCATCCCTGAATGTCTGTAACTGGGAAACTCTGCACGGGGGCTGCCAGTTCCCCTGGGAAGAGGCCATACCTCAGCGACCGAGCCCTTGCTTTGTGTGCAGAAGATCCCCGATCCAGTCCCTGTCCAGTTAAAGGTGCTCAGGTAGCAGGTACTGGCAAAGACGTTTCTCAGCCAGAGACTTGGGAGAGCTGCTTCCAGTCTGAAGATAATAAATAGCGAGCTAGGGTTAGGGCTTTTCTGTATCCTCACGTTCCTTGCTTGTGTGCTCCTGTTGCTTCAGGAGGGGGTTTCTGTTCCGCATGTGTTTTGCTCCCTCTAGTGGTCGATTCAGTATTATATCGATTTATGCCTGGCATATCGATTTATGCCTGCAAGTTTTTAGGCTGGACATAAAGTGGTGTAATATCGAATCGACCACTAGAGGGGGAAAGACACATGCAGAACAGGAGGAAAAACACAGAACAACAGGAACATACAAGCGGGGAAAATCAGAATGCGGAAAAGCCAGCAGTGTTATAATTGGAAAGGGGAGGACTTGGCTCAGTGGAATTGGCTTGACCACTGCAGCCAGGAGTGTGGCCAGATGTCCCATTGAATGCAACAGGGAGTGCTTCCCTGACATTTGTATAACCAACAGCCTTTGCCTTCCAGGAATTGATCTACAAGGAATTCTTCTCCCAAGGAGATCTGGTACGTAAGAAAACTCCCCGGGAATGGTCCCATACCTTTAATAATGCTGCTCTGAGCCAATGCTGCTTAAAATATTTTTGAGGGCCTGCTTTTTCATAACACATAAAAGCATTCCATCCTAGCAGTAAATCATGGCCCTCAGTTTTTAAAAGTCTCTTATCTTCTAAAGTAATCCATTCTTTAATCCATACTAATGCTGCAGCTCTATAATACAATAACCAATTTGATACTCCAAACCCTCCTCTTTCTTTTACGTCGTACCTAGCAGTAAATCATGGCCCTCAATTTTTAAAAGTCTCTTCTTAAAGTAATCCATTCTTTAATCCATACTAATGCTGCAGCTCTATAATACAATAACCAATTTGGTACTCCAAACCCTCCTCTTTCTTTTACATCATGTAGCATTTTCAATCTGATTTGTGCCCTTTTCCCTTGTCATATAAACTTAGATATCATCTGGTCTAAGTCTTTAAACAAGTTTTGATTTTGTAGTATCGGAATAGTTTGAAAGAGAAACATCCATCTAGGTAAAATATTCATTTTTATTGTAGCAATTCTTCCCATCATGGAAAGTTGCAGATTTTTCCATTTGTCCAAGTCTTGTTTAGATTTTTGTAGTTGTACTTTATAGTTGTCTTCATAGAGTGTACTGCATTTATTTGTAACCGTAATTCCTAAATATTTAGCTTTTTTACAATCTGACATCTTGTGATTTCTTGTAACTTTTCTTTTTGTTTGTCGTCCAAGTTCTTAGTTATAATTTTAGTTTTTTCTGTATTTATTTTGAAACCCACCACTGCTCCATACTCTTCAACCTTGTCCTTCAAGACTCCTGTTGCTTCTCTTAGGTTTTCAAGTATTAATGCCACATCATCTGCAAAGGCTAGTATTTTAAAGTGTTCTTTCTTCACTTGAAGTCCAGTTATTTTACTCTCTTCTCT